TGCCGGTTAAGTAAGAGGGAGTGGGTGTGGGGCTGGGGGTTGGGGTGCGGGAGAGGGTGTGGAGCGTGGGCTCTGGGAGGGAGTTTGTGTGTGGGAGGGGGTTCAGGGCAGCAGGCTAGGGCGCCCGGAAGGGGGTACGGCGTGCTGGATCCAGGCGGGCGCCTCACCTCTGGCAGCTCCCCGCAAGTGGCGACACATCCCAGGCTCCAGCTGCTCCTAGGTGGAGGCGCAGCAGGCAGCTCTGCACGCTGCCTGCACCCACAGGTGTCCCCCCGCAGCTCCCATTGGCCGCGGTTCCCGGGCACTGGGGCGGAGGTGGGGGAGCAGCACACAGGAACAGCCGGAGCCCGGGACAGGTCGCCGCTTGCAGGGAGCTGGCCGAGGTGAGTGGCCCCCAGATCCGGCACACCTCACCTCCTCCCGCACCTAAACGCCCACCCAGAGCCTGCACCCCAACCCCCTGCTGTCCCCGCACCAACCCGACTATAAACCAGCATTTCAATGAAGATCAGAAATGCCGGTTTATAGAGCTTTCCAGTTGATGAAGTGCCAGATAAAACCGCTTTTGCTGTATTGAATTAGGGATTTCTCTGCAGCTAGAGGAGTATCTAACTGGGAATGTAAATGTAACTGCAGTTCAGGAAAATAAATTTATATTTCAAGGATATATGAAGAAGAGTTTAAATTGTGCCAACATTGTACTGGGTATCAAGCGTCTAAGGAATGAAACTTAGTGATCTGTGAACATTTTGGTTAGGTCACCATGTGTTTTACATTTTCAGCCATGTTTTTATCTCTGCTGGAGGTTTTCTCATTTCAACTGTACTTTGACTGACATGGAGTCCTCCCTAAAGTTCCACAATACATAATGAGAAGGAAAAGATATAAAAATTGAAATGACATTTTTATTGTGTTTATTAGTACTTGGTGCACTAATTTCTATAATGCATGTAAGTGTTATTATTTGTATATTTAAAAAGTAATGATTTTAAAATGTTATTGAATTATCTTTTGTGGTTACGTAAGCATACGGTATAATCATTGTTCCATTGTCTTACTTTAACTTCTACATCTCTTCCCTCCCTTCTGTTTCTGTGACTGCCTGTGTAGGTAAATTAGGAAGGCTTGTCTGATGCTGAATGGTTTTGGAAGGTTCCATTTACAATAGAAAAATATTGTAGCTGTATTTAGTAGGTATATAGGGTAGATGTAACTGTAATGTATTACTAACATAAATTGTAGTTTAAATATGCTCAGGCATTTAAAATCCCATGTCTGCCAGCCCTGCTCAAGAATTCAACATGTTAGTAATACGATTGCAGTGTCATCCCTATTAAATACATTACATACTTTTCTAAGGTAAATGGAGCCAGTAAGTCTTAACTGAGTTTCATGGAGGCAAGTCAGCTGGACATTGAGCTCCAAACATACTTTTAATAAATATAGATAAAACTGCTGTGACATTTGTCCAGTGCATTGTGGGTAAAATCAAGAGTACCTGGTGGCAAAAGTTCAGGTTATGTTATGGAAACCAAACACTGCTTCGCTTTTTCTTTTTTCAGGAAGTGAGACCTGACTTACAAAAGGATTATTGCTCTTGTTGTTGTTGTTGGTCAATCCATACATATAATGTTCTAATTAACCAATAATTAGTGATTCATTTGACCAGTTCTAATCTGAAATATGTAGAGAAAAACAATGTGTGAATACAGACGTTGTAAATCTGCTGCAGCCTTATTCTTGAGTTATAATTCATTCAGAACATGACCATCTTTTACTGCTTTCCTGAGGAAAGTAATTACAACTTTTTTTGGTAAGTCAGTCAACCAATTTCAAGCATTGTTGTCAGCTTGGCTGAATTCTCTTACGTTTTTTTCAGGCATTGGCAGGATTCCTGCTACATCACTAGGAAATTTAACAAATCACAGTTCTGAAGATTTACCTCTTCTTCCTGGCTGGTCAGTGGACTGGACTATTAGAGGAAGGAAATACTACATTGATCATAACACTAATACAACTCATTGGAGCCATCCACTTGAGCGTGAGGGACTGCCTCCTGGATGGGAAAGAGTTGAGTCAGCAGAATTTGGAGTGTATTATGTAGATCACATCAATAAAAGAGCTCAGTACAAACATCCCTGTGCTCCCAGGTAGGCTATCAATGTTAGTTTTGTTGCAGACTACATTCTGATTCAATTTAGCATAGGAAAATCGAGCTTTTCTGTTTTAGCACATCACTGATCTGTTATATATTATTTTTATACATGAAACTTTACTGGTTTCTGTCCAAGTTGCTTTAATTGTAAAGGGCGATAACCTTAAGGCTTCTGTTTCCTGAGCTGTGTTAATTTTCATGTAAGTTCAGAGCACAGAATATTGCTGCCAACTAATCAAGAACAATGCATCATTGTACTTTAATATTAATATTCATTAAGATTGACAGAATACTTCAGGAGGAGAAAAATGTTACAGGTCGAAAGGAAGCTGTTAAATCTTACCTTCCAGCAGGCTGTCCTCACAAATAACCTGTAATAATAATCCTGATGAAGAGGCACTTTGCCATTTTAAACATGGGCTAGTTCTGCTCTAAAATGAAAGTCCCTGTTTCATCTACACACAATATAAATGTTGATAACTTTTTGTTAGTATACTCAACACGCTTGTCCCTGCTGTACTATTTTTCTTATTTCTCAATATGGAACAATAGATAACATTGTGGAATAGCTTGTACCAAATGTAACTAGAACACGTTTGTTCTAAATCCAGTGAATTTTGGGTTGATCAGCTAAATGATACTTGCCTATTTTATCTGTTAAAATCGGTTTTTAATTTTTGGTCAGACCATGTTAGTAAAAAGGCAGTGGGGTAACAGGTGAAATGGTCCTATATGAGTTTGTACAATGTGATAAATGCAGCAGTGTTTACATTATTTTATTCTAAACACAAAAGGCCATGGCACAATTCTTATTAAAAATGACTGCAGAAAGTCTCCTTACTCCCAGTAAAGAGTATTTAAAATTAAATGCAACCTACCTGTATGCTGTGATACCATCAGTCTGCATACATGACTCCTATTGTTGTAAGTGGCTGGATTGATCAGTAGTTTTTATTAAGATTTTAACATTTTGGTCAAAATTAACATTTCAATTATGCTAGTATATTTAATTTGCTGCTTTTGGAGGTTATTGAATGGATACATTTTAGATTTATATCTCTGTTCTTTGTACAGCGTTCCTCGTTATGATCAACCTCCACCAGTGACTTATCAACCACAGCAAGCTGAGAGAAGCCAGCCCCTTCTAGTGCCTGCAAATCCATACCACACTGCAGAGATTCCTGACTGGCTACAGGTCTATGCCAGGGCTCCTGTAAAGTGAGTATCTTTTTTCATTCCTCTCAAAATGACTTACTTCTGTCTTTTAAAAAAAAAAAATTATTTTTCTTTATAGCTGTATTTCAACAACTAGAAAAGAAAAATACCTTTTTTTGCATTATGTAAATTAATTTGTTTCATTGCATAGGCACTATTATTGGCAGTAGAATTAAATGTAGAAAGTTATAGCAGATATTTTCAGTTATTCAGAACACGAGTGCAGCCATATGCAAAAGTTGTGGGGACCAGGTACAAGGATGCTTGAGACTAGTAACTATATCGTTGGGACATCAACAGTATATTAAAGAAGATGGGGTTAGAATATGTCCCCTTCATTCTTCTCCCAACCCCCCCCCAGTGTTTGATAGAGGTTTAACATCAGGCTTTCTGCAGCGAAATCAAAATTGGTGTCAAGATAACATATTTGGTCGGATGTGGAGAGACTTATTTCACAGTAAGCGGTTACTGATCTTTGGGTGTCACACTAGTGGTATTAAATCTAGTCTTGGGAGGTTTGTTTTGCCTTAGGTAGAGGATAAGTGCTGTGACAGTAATAGGCATAGGAAGGAGGTACGGTTGTGGATAAAACATGCGCCCAAGCAGCAAACCCAATTTAGTCTTGCAGAGTAGTATATTTTAAATATAAACATACAGCGCTGAAGTAACATTGCAGGTCTGATGCAATCCACACTGTTATGGCTGCTTGTGCTGAGTGTGTGTAGTTGATGCAGCTCTTGTGAACCTCAGAAATCTCCGATTGCTGATCCTCAGGCGCCTGAGGGGAGGATTCTCTTTCCTCCACCCTCTGACAGACCAAATTTATCCATTAGGTCGGGCTGGACCCGTAGTAATATGACCTTCTACCAGCAGAGCAAGATGGGGAATTCAAGAAATATTGTGCCTATCTTTTGGGAGAGGGTCAGTTGCAGCTTGAAGAATCCAGTTCATTCCTTTCCCCACCAAACAGAACAGTTTTCTCTGTTCTGAGTTTGGGTTTTTAACTTTTATTTATTTGTAAATTAGCAGGAATTTCCTATACAGTTTTTCTCTAGGAAAAGAGTCTGTTTGTTTTTCCCTTTCCACTATAAGGAGCTGTCAAATGGAGTTAAACCCTGAAACTAAATATGAAGGGTTGGTCGAGACACCCAGGGCTGGCCTGTGCTGACTGACTCAGGCTCACAGGGCTCGGGTGGCAGGGTTGTTTAATTGCAGCCTAGACTTCTGGGCTGCAGCGTGGACTCTAGGAAGTCCTTCCATGCCCGGAAGTTCACTGTAATTAAACAGCCCCGCAGCTCAAGCCTTGTAAGTGTGGGCCAGCCATGAGTGATTAATTGTAGTGCAGACATTCCCAAAGGTTTGTTCATAACCAACATGTGCAGCTCACTCCATGGGAGTATGACTGTTGCCTCCTGGGTTTCCAGGGTCTCCAGAGGGCAAGGAAGCAATAGTCCTGTAGTTGTTTAATCACACAGGTATGTGAAATGGCATATAAGAACACTGGGCTGATGAGTTTCACAGTTTTTAAAGGAAGATCCATCTGTGGAGAAAAAAGTTGCAAAGTGCTCCTTACTGTTCACGTCAACATGTCGAATAATATGCTGGAGAGCCCAGAGTGTGTGACTTAGGGCTGGTCCACACTAACCCCCCACTTCGAACTAAGATACGCAACTTCAGCTACATGAATAACGTAGCTAAAGTTGAAATATCTTAGTTCGAACTTACCGTGGGTCCACACGCAGCAGGCAGGCTCCCCTGTCGACTCCACGTACTCCTCTCGCGGAGCAGGAGTACCGGCGTCGACGGTGAGCACTTCCGGGATTGATTTATTGCGTCTAGACAAGACGCAATAAATCGATCCCAGAAGTTCGATTGCTTACCGCCGGACCCGGAGGTAAGTATAAACGTACCCTTAGTCTTAATGTGTTTGATTCCAAGAACACTGCAGTTCCTTATGCTGGCTTTAGGAAATATAATCACATTCAATCTTTTCTAGCCTATTAACTACTTTTTAATTTCTTAAAGTGCTAGAAACAAACCTATACAAATTTCACAACAAAATTAAGAATTTTGCATTTAGACTGTTGACAACTACATCCCTGCTCAAAAATCTTCATTACTAAATAAAATAGAAAAAATGTATAACTATATTTTTAGAAGAAATTATGCTATTTTAGGAGCTAAGAGTCTGTCCCATAAGAATACATTTTTTGACTGAATTCAGAGAAACAAATGAAACGTACAGACCCGACTCACCAGGGAGCAAAATACCACCACCACCAAGAAAAGCAATTGAGAACCTAGGGATTGTGGCTTTAATATTTTGCAATATGAAATCAATTTTTGGACAAATTAATAGAATTGTAGCAATGACTGCAGTTGCAGATTCATCGATTTTTGGATGATCTTCGGCGGCTTCCATGTGCAGGTTCTTTTTAAAGAAGCTTCTGGTAATATAATTTGATGGGATTTATAGCTACATGTGGCTACTGGGCGTGCCAGGAGCCTGTAAAGATTTAAATTGGCATAAATTCCAATGATATTTTTATGCACCAATGGTGTGTTCAGTTCCAGTAACCTGTTGGAAAGGATTGTTTCCTATGAGCACTCTTAGTTGCTGTCATTAACTGTGTTCTGTTAATTAGATGTTTGGAGTATCTAGTCAATGTCCACTTTCAAACTGTTTCAGTGTTAGGTGGGTTCTTGTCAGTGCACTTGTGGAAACCTGGGAATAGACAATCTCAGATTCGTGGGAATGTCTGTAAATCCTATTTGATGAGACAAAATTAGAGCAAATTAAATTAGTCCAAAGAATTAAAATGTGATTCACATAGTCGAGAAGAAATAATGAATTCATATATAAACACAATATCCTGTCAATTTTTGGTTTTTCCATCTTCGAGTAGATCTGATAGCAATATTAATAAGCACTTTATATGTTCAGAGCACTTCACAATCATTGAATCCTCATAAATACTTCTCTGAGGGAGACAATTGTGTATTATCCCCCAGGTTACTGAGAGAGAGAAAGCATAGACACTGCTGTATGTTTATTCTGTCAAGCCCTAAACCAATAGAGGTATTTTTTTGACAGTGGGGTAGAGAGTTAAAAATA